CTGTAAACATAGCTATTAACACCCAGGATGATGCGAATAAACCCATAGGCCCAAACAATATGAATTGCTGAGAAGTGAAGTTGAAGAAAATCTTTCCCATACTCTGTTCAGGATAAAACAGCTGATACAACAACAGTTCTTTGGGAATACACACAGATTGACTGAGGAATTCAATATTTAATAAGTGGAATATTTAAACTCATTTTCTCCTCTTCATTCTCAAGTGTGTGTGTGTGTAATATATCTTCTCTGGGTATTTTGTTGTGCTTTTTAAAAATAGTTGGCATTTGTTGATTGCTTTACCTTTTCAAAACATTGCAAGTCTTCATGACAACCACAGATGTAAGGCGGATACTGACTTCATTTTATACATAATGATACATTCAAAAATCGCATGGATTGCCTGACAACTCTGAATCAGTGGCAAAGCTAAGTCTGGACCTCAGAGAGAGATAGAGAGAGAGAGAGAGAGAGAGAGAGACTGCATCTTCATGTGTGTAGATTTCCCTCTATAGTGAGAGAACCAACAGATTAACCTAAAACAGAGAAGTGTTCATTCACTCAGAGTTCTTGCAAACTGCACTGAATTTACAGCAAACAGTTCTGAATTGCTCCTTTCATGAATGAATGGCACTTTTGTATCAAAATGGCAGCCCGCTTCATAACTGTGTGTTTGCAGTTTTAAGCACAAGCAATTAAATGGAAATGTAACTGATACAATTGCCATGCTATTATAAAAGAATGGAACATGGCCAATTAACAGTATTTTATATTGTCTGAAAGATTATGATATTAACTGACTGCTGTGGATAGATTATATTGCCTAATATAATCTAACCAACTGAAGGTGCCTACAATCTGGTATCAAAAAGCCCTCTGCTTTTCAGAAAAAGGTGTTCAAATGTGTGTCACAGGCCCTATACTATTTATGACAGATAGAACATGTGGTAGTAGCCTGTCCAGGGGCGGATATAGGGCAGGGCGAACGGGGCTACCGCCCCGGGCCCCACACTTAAAAAAGCACCGCGCATGTGCCATGGCGCCACCGCGCATGCACATGGTGTCACAGCGCATGCGCCGTGGCAAAGGGGGGCCCCTGCAGAGTTATGCTGCCCGGGGCCCCGCAAAACAGTCATCTGCCCCTGAGCCTGTCTTGTCTCCCTACTGTTCAGTACACACAGGGGAGGGATAGCTCAATGGTTTGAGCATTAGCCTGCTTAAACGCAGGGTTGTGAGCTCAGTCCTTGAGGGGGCCATTTAGGATCTGGGTCAAATCTGTCAGAGATGGTGCTTGGTCCTGCCGTGAGGGGAGAGGACTAGATTTGATGACCTCTCAAGGTCCCTTCCAGCTCTATGAGACAGGTATATCTCCATATAGTATTATGGGCAAGAAGGCTTAATAACACTATGATTTCTTTAGTAAGATGATACCCAAGTCTCTTTTTAACCTCTCCAAGTGATGTTCGCATGGAGATTGGGATGTGAAATGAAGACTGGCTGGCTAAGAATCCACCCAGAAGAACCAGAGATACTACTTATAGGGAGGGGACAGGAAAGAATATAGACACCCCCCACAAAAAAAATAAAAAGAGGAAATTTCATCAGCACCTCCCTTTATAAGGTTCACAGTCTGAGTCATCAGCCTTCATCTCCTTCTGGATAAGAGTACTTATTCATTTACACTTGCCTAGAGCAAATTGTACCATTCCTTGTTGTAGCAAAATCGAGCTAGAGCTTACATGTATCCTACACTTTAAAAGCTAGATGACTTCACTGTGACCTACATGTGGATACATCCTGGCTGCGTCTAGATTTCCATTAAAAGCATTTCCAGAAAATCATGCCAAAGTTTCTCGTTAAAAGCATTTTCGGAACAGAGTGGCTAGGATGCTTTTCTGCAAAAGCACTTTTTGCGGAAAAGCGTCGTGCCAATCTAGATGCGCTTTTCCGCAAAAAAGCCCTGATCGCCATTTTTACGATCGGGGCTTTTTTGTGGAAAACAGATCTGAGCTGTCTACACTGGCCCTTTTGCGCAAAAGCTTTGCGTAAAAGGGACTTTTGCCTGAATAGGAGCAGAATAGTATTTCCGCAAGAAGCACTGATTTCTTACAGTAGGAAGTCAGTTCTTTTGCGGAAATTCAAGCGGCCAGTGTAGACATCTGCCCAGTTTTTCCGGAAAAGCTGCTGATTTTCCGGAAAAACTGGCCAGTCTAGCCACAGCCCTTCAGACCCCAGGTACTGTAGCAATTGGAAGACCACTTATTAAGCAGCATTTTCCACACAAGGAGCACAATACTCTTACAAGCTGCACTGGTCACATGTTGATTTCTAGATGCGGTTAGCTTTGACCTATAAAGCTCTATATTGTCTGGGCTCCTAGCTCTTTAAAGGACACACCCAGCTCTCTAGGTTAAACCCAAACTCCACTGAAGTTACTTGGAACTTCACTGATGTTTGAATCAGGCCCTCACAGCAGGATACTATGGGAGCTAGAGTGAACAGAGTACTCAAACACACACCCTCCTTGCTCAATTATTAGGCATATGCTGGCAGCAGGGTGCTCTCTGAAGGGCAACTGGCCACCAAGCTCCCTCTTACTACAATAAAAGCTAGATTTGTTGATTTTCAAAAACACTCATCTGTTTATACTTAGATTTGTGTGGAGTTGAGGATGAAGCTCTTTTGGAATGTTTTTCTGTAGCTGGGACCTATTACGTTAACTTGTTTCCTTGACTGTTAGAAGTTGGTGCTTTTAAATAGCCGTATGAAATCTGGAAAGCTCCACAGGACTCAATACCAAAGCAGCTAATAGTGAGTCTCCGGTCCAGTAGTTCAAGGTAGTAGCAGTCTGAACTTTGGGAACAGCTGGACCACAGCTCTACTCCACTGCTTCTTTGACACTTCAAATGGTCATCATGTCCAGCATGGGAACAAGTGGAAGATTTCAGAAAGGCACAGGTTTCATACTGTCAGAAATTATTATAATTCCAACCTCTCACTGAGGTTGCATGGTGCTCTCATTTCTAGACTTTAGTTTTTAATTGATTTAAAAGCCTTGTTTTTATTTGGACGTATCTATCATGTTCTTTTCCCATTTTGGCTGGCCAGTATGTGAAACCACTACTTTCCTTTTCCTCTTTCCTTCAACTCTCCCACAAGCATCATGATGGCATCTAAGCCTCTCTCAAGATATGCTTGCTCTGCTGACTCTCAGTGCAGCTGCCAATGCTGCTTCTGGAACTGGACAACCACACATCTTCGCTGCCCTGCATACAAATACTTCAGCTCTGCAGTTGGTCAATGGCAAATTTATGCAGGAAGAAAATCTTCTTAAGAATGTGCCTGAAGCCACCAAAGTCTACAAACTCAAGGAACTTCTTATTCTGTACAAATGGAAGGATGCCTGTCTTGCTAAAGAAAACACGCTAAAATGTACTTTGTAGGTAGCTGGAACTTGATGAAAGAGGGGCAGAATTCAAGTTGTGAAGCTATAGTTTTATTTTTATACACACACACTTTGAAAGACCACTTGTGGAAAGTGTTAGCATTCCCAGACTGTTGTTCCGTTCAGAGTAACAGTTCCTTGGCGTCCTATTTGGAACTGACAACTTATAATTCATTCAGAATCTTCTGCTCTTTCTCTTGGGCCAACCTTTCCAAACACCTTGCTGCTTGGAAAAATTCAAATATTTATGGACTGGTTCTGCTATGCCTAATACTTAAGAAATAAAAGCTAATCTAGAGCATTCGTACTATAAGCACATTCAAGCTGCCACGTGCAGTCTCCAAAAGAGTTTTAAAACATGATAAACACAACTAACTACCCTCGTCTAATTCTCTTAAAAAGTCATGTTCTGTTTCTCATCAGAATCCACTTAAATATTTATATATCTGTTCTCCCTACAAGACTGCTCTCTATGGTGCTCTATCACCACAGTAATAGGCATTAATGAACAGTGTGAGAAATGACTCAAACTGCATTCACTTCTCTCCATGTTTGGCAGTACCTATCAGAATGTCCCCGAAGGGAACAAAAATATGAAAGCTCAATGAAGTTACAGATAAATAGTTATGTTAATTTTATAGCCAACATCAAATTTAGGCTTCCTCGAGCACCTATTTTATCAGAGTTCAGACCTAGCACATGCAATTACATCAAACAATTTGGCAAATGTTTGCCTCCCTTCTGTATACTTTCTATTGTACCAATTCTGTGCTATTGAGGATCTTAATTTTATCACGTATGTTTTCCCTTCCCACTTAATTTTGTTCTCAAACTCCTGAAACACTAGTTAGCATTTCAGTATTAGACATCTGTGGAAGTGCTTAAGTGAGTAAAGCTGTAGAAGAGGCTAAATATTGCAGAATCAGGGTATGAAAGAGCTAACAGCAGATATTCAAACACTATTGTGTTTCCTATCAGTTTTGTTTCAGAGGAAGGGAATGTGGGATACTTGTTAAAAACCATTTCAGAGGGAGAATAATATAGTCAATGTTTTGTAAAGTATTTAATAGAGTAAAATGAAGACAAGTTAAGACATTTAGGGGTAAATGGATTAAGAGCCCAACAAGTAGTGGAAGCGTGGGTCGTGCTGCTAGACAATACTGACATCCTGAGGTTTGACAGATTCTCTGGTTCAGCACCAAGCAGGTCCCAAGCGTGCTGGACTAAAGAGGTTCATATGTATCAATGTTTCATTATCCCTTTCCAAATCTTTCCTGCAAATACAGCATTTGGAGTAAAGAGCAAGTGAAGATTATTCACTATATGTTCATAATAGTGTTAAAAATCAATTTTATAATCTCTTTTGGACTGTATATTTATACTTTTAAATTTTTCTATTCATGTTTTCCAACTGAAGCTTCATTATCATCATTATAGCCTGGACAAGCACTTGTTCCTCCTCCCTAATGTGCTCAGCCCCCAAGAAACTGGCACTGCATGATGTAAGTAACTGTTTAGACACATGAATTTAAGTTTGCAGCAGAACACACAAGGATATTTTCAAAAACCATTGCTTTATTGGTTGCACAAACTGGAGCATTATTTACAGCTTTCATTTCTATAAATGCTCATAAAAATCAAGTTGTACAAACAGTACAATATAGGAAACTAAAATTAACCTGATCTCAGAATATATATGCAGTCATATTCTCAATAATATAGTCTATTGGAATCTAGAAGAATCAAAGCATTTATATAGAAAAGTTTGTCTTAATATTTGTGTCTTGGAAACTTAACAGTTTAATTTCAGAAGTGTAAGAAAAAAAGTAGCTAGCTACAAGATTTGTAGCAATGGCCCCTGTTTGGAAACTAGAAATGTATTACCCCCAAAAAGGGGTATTAAACAGAAACTCCAGTAGGGAACTCTTCAGCTGTAACAAATTTGCTCTGCAAAAGAAAATAAAAAATGAGTGATTTAGCAATTTGCTTTATTAAGCATGCTTGGGATAGTCTAAACATACCTAAAATTAGCTAACATTCTGCCCCATGCTATTCATGTCTCCATTTTGGTGGGGAGTTCATCAGGTTTTCTTAACTAGCTCTTGGTAATCTGAGGGAAAATGTAAAACCCTTTTGTGAAAAGTTTGTCTTTAAGCCAAACTATAAGAACAGCAAAGAATTAGCATATGATCTCTCATTTCCACCAGAAATATTCAAAGAATTATCTGTTTTGGTTTATGTATGTAAATTAAGTTACTTTTCTAAACCCCATAGTTTAAAGTTACATAACTAGAAGTTAAAGTTACCAAACTAGAAGTTTAACTCTTGTGTTCTCAGAACCTGAATGTCACTATTTCTGTAAGTTGTTCTTTTAAAAGCATGCAATATATTAAAAAACTATGCCATTTCACTAGTTTAAAATCAAGCAACATGCATTTGGGGGGAAAAAATAAATCCAGCTTCTACAGGTGGAACTGATTAACTGCTGGGTTAAGAACTGTATCTCACATACTGGAGAGTAATACTGAAAATGATACTGATTAACTAAAAGCAGGCACTCTTAATTCTTTCAAAGGCAAAATCCTGAGGGACACAAGGGACTTATGACTCCTATTGACTTTTCAATGCCTCTGGGATCAAGCCTTAGGTCACTTAACAGTTAAGAAGCTTAAGTCTTCAATGGGAACAAATTCTTCCTACCAGATACAGTTTTTGAATTTGTTGCACAGAATATGATCCCTATCCAATCTTTTAAAGAGTTTTAAGCTTAAACTAAAAAAGAACTACTTGAAGAGACACCGTTACGGCTGTAAATTATTGAAGAGGGAGCTTTACCTGAAGCAATTCTTAACCTCTAAAGATGCTGATGATGTAGGAGCAGAGAGTGTGCAGGGATTCCCAGCAATGTTCTCGTGCCAACTTCATTGCTTCAGTATCATTTTCAGACCCTTGTTCATGCTGTGTTGGTTTTATAAGAGGTACTGTAGATGGTTTAGGTCTCCCTGCTTTTTTGGCAGAGCTTTTCCCTGGATGGGTCTCTTTAACTTGCTTCAGAGAAACAAAGGGTTTCTGGATTGATTTTCCCTGATTGGCTGTATCTGATTGCTGGCTAGGATTCTGGCTTGGCTTCAAGCTGGAAACTACTTGCTTCATGTGAGCATCAGTGGGAGCCTTTTGGCACATGGTGGGCTTCAGCACTAGGGTGGACTGGCAAGCGTTTGGGAGTTTTCTAAGTTCAAGGACAATCTGGTTCCAATAAAGCTTTGGGTTGTTATTGAATGGACGACAAATTGACGGCTTGCCAGTATATTCACACCAGTAAGACTTGCCTTGGTGTTTACATTCAATTCTGAGTTTCATTTCCCCATTACCACTCATGTTCATCGTGCAAGAATCTTTGACTTTAGTCTGAAAATGGATTTCTTCAGCACTGCTCTTTCTCTTTTCTGTCTGTTTCTGTCCTAATCCTCCCATGCAACAAATCACGAGAATGATGACAGTCTTCATGGTGAAACAGAGACTAAGATCCTGAAGCCGCTCAGTACAAAAAAGCAAAAGAAACTAGTAACGGTCTGCTCACAATTTAAAGGTTTCGTGCACAAAGAAGTCTCTCTCTCTCTCTCTCAAGGTGGACTGTATTTTTTTTTAAATAAACCACCCTAGTGTAAGCACATGCCCATAATTTATAGCTTAAGGGAATGCCAAATAACCTGTGAACTCCCAAGAAGGTAACAAGACACATCTTGCAGCTAAATAGAGCTTGGTAGTTGTGTAACTGAAAAGCACATTCCTACCCAAAATGCACGTAATATTTGATTTTAACAGATATTTTCCAATCTCCAGCTATTTTATAGCTATCTTTTGGCCCAATTCTTGTATGGCCACATGGAAGTTATCAGAAGGTGGTCAGGCAAATCAAATCTGTAAGGTCTTGTCCAGAATAAAAAAAATTCAATTAATAAAAATTGATTTGTGATACCTTTTTGGTTTTGGGGATGTGCACTAGTAAACATGTGGCTGTTATATTTTATTATCGAATACTAGAAACATGGAATTCTGTGGAAAGCCAACTGCAAATTCCTTGACTAAAAAAAGTTTAGGATGCTACTACACAGCAAAGAAAAATCCATGGCTGGACTGTGTGCCAACTGACTGGCTCACAAGATTCAGGCTGCTTTATCACTGTGTAGACTTGGGATTAGGCTGGAACCAGAGTTCTGGGACCTTTGCATGCTGCAGGATGCCAGAACATGGCCTTCAGCCTGGGGCCAGAAGTTTACAGAGCAATGAAGCAGTCCCACAGCCTGCACCAGAGTCAGCTGGTAAGTTCCAGCCATGGTTTCTCTTTATTGTGTAGACATATCCAGTGTGGTTTTTATGAGCTTCCTCATACAGGTTTTCCAGTATAATCTAAGCCCCCTCATTTCATTTCTGGGTTTTTCCATCTTGCTTACAACAGCCAATATTGACTGTCAGTGAAGTCCAACAGTACATCAGTTTTTGTAAGGAGGAGAAAAATCCATTCTCCAACATGATCTCAGCCCTTGTCTTAACCTAGCAAATTTCCACCAGCTCTCAAACACACTTAAAATAAAATAAAAATAAAATAGTTATTTATGAATCATGTACAGATTTCTTAACCAAGTTTTTTTATTTAAGCGGACTGCAAATATTCTAATTAAAAATAAACATTTTGAATTCTACAATTCTGAACATATATCTATACATTCATGCTACATATTGTCACATGGAAATATTTCCCTTTCTGACCAAAAAAGAGTGAAAAAACATATAAACGTATTCTGGATAACACTGGTATCTCTGTTCAGTTTTGCTTTATATTTTCAAAGGTTTGTGGGATTACCTTTATTTTAAACCAATTAACTTTTCTAGAAAAGGAATGAAGAACATGGTTATACAATCAGCTTCCTCTTGAGTTCAAGATATTCAGTTCTTTCATCTTTTCTACCTCTCTAATTTTTTGTGTGTAAACAGTTACAACCCTTTCAGTGAATGTGTGTCTCATAATCCAGGAACACAACTGCTATGTCTAAATTCTAGGCAATACCCTAACTTTGGTGATGTAAAATACCCTTCTAAAAGTGTTCAAATTCCTAAGTAGAAAGTTAAATTTAAAAATTAGTTAGCAAAAATATAGTCACTGCCTCCTTAAAGATCCACATATTTATTAGCAATTTGGGTAGGGGATTAAGCATTTTAAAAGTTACCAACTTTATAGCATCTCTCGTGCTCTAATTAGAGTATTATTCAAAATCCAGGGAACTCCATACCTTGCAACATACATAAAAAATGTAATTTTAAATGAGTTGCTCGCCAAATGATCTTTTAGATCTATACTTAAAGGTCATCACATATTAAATAACTTCAGAGAGAAAAAGCCTTCAACTGAATTAATTTTCAGATACACACACAGGTGATACATTAGCATATCCCATACATTTAAAAATTATTCCAGAGTGGTCCAACAAGAGCACCAGAAGTCAACAATAATCATGCAGATGAATTTATCTGTGAAGTATATTATACAATATCAAAAAATTTAGCTAAAACAATTTTAAGAAAATGTATATACAAAAGACTCTGTATACAAAATGTATTCTTTATGTAAATGTGTATATACTGTATTTAACACGTCCCCAAACAAATGGTAAGATAGGAACTTGAGTAATCATGGTAGGGTAGTTAACTTTAAACAAAATCTGTGCAAGCCACATTAATATACATACTGTGATGTGAAATAGAAACCCTGGTATAAAAAAAGTAAAAAAACAAACACCACTTTAGTTCAAGTTTTGAACAGTAGTGAACAAGAAGAGGTGCTCAGCTGTTTTGTACAATAGTTAATGGCAGAACATTAAACACGGTTTTCTTGATTCAAGACTGATTTACTGTACAAGCCACATAGAACAAGTGGCATGGGATTTGGATGGTGACGTCAGATCCCAGTATAGCTGGACGAAATTCATATTTTCTTCTAGAAGAATCTTAAGCATCATATCTATAGCCTGAAAATAGACTAAAAAAACTGTAAAAAAAAATTGAGGCAGCATTGCAATATTCATATAACACACTATACATACATGGTCTTCAAGTGAAAGCCATGGGTATGTCAGATAAACTTCTTCACTCTACCAATGAGCTTGCTATTATGTGTGTACAAGCCCTTTTTTACATTTTAGTAAGCAGTTTTTTAAAAATGGGAGAATGTGTTGGCTAGGAGTTGAAATAATTTAAAAAAGTTCATTACTTACTCCTGATGTTTCCAGTATCTGCTACCACTGTTCCACAGAGCTAAAGAGAACATAGAAATATTTTTTATTGCTAACAAAGAATTAAGTATACTGCCTTCATAACTACAGCACATGACACTGCCAACTGTCATTAGTGTAACCACCAACCATGCCTGTGTCAGAAATATACAAGTGCTCTGTAAATAAGTCTTGAGTCATCTTGCCATGTACTGAAGTTTTTAAATGAAAGAAAATGTGTTTAGTTTCATTATACAGCAGTCTTTTATTTCTAAGTCTTGTTTTGGGATGGAAGGAAATGATCAGATAATGAGTTCAACATTATCGATCTAACTTAGAAAAGGTCTTAACCCAACCTCCTATTTTGCTTACACAAATAATTGCAGCTGCATTTGATTTTTATTTAGATCTCTACCTATCTGATCTGGGGAAATAATCACATAGATGTCCAAATGCAACTGCAACCTGCATACTTGCATCCCTAACACTGCAGGTGCAAAAGGGGAGGTTTTCTGTTCCTGTCATTTTAAAACTCTATGGCTTAATTGCTAACCATCTCAAAGATTCTAGAAATACTTACAAACTAAAGAGCTGCAGAAACAGAAAAAGCAAGGTAAAAAAACCCCTGAAAATGGTTTGATTAGTTATGCCTAGGACACCAGGATCTACTAGTGTGGTAGCCCTGATACCTTTTCCAAACTCTGTATCAGCTATGAAATAAAAGGAAGTGGCAGTTCACAATAAATTCTAGTATCAGTTATGATGGAGTCAATTCAGAGTAATTTCACTGTCATTAAGACAACTGCAATCTGAATCTAGTCCTTAAGTGAGTTAGGGATAAAATGAGTAATTATAAAATGAGTAATTCCACGGTTATAAAATAGTTCCTCCAAAAGAAACCTAGGGAAGATACTTGATTAATAAAAAATCAATGCAAAACAGACTTTTGTTCAATTGATATGGCCCTGAAGATTGTCAAAAATTTTTACCTCAAGCCCCGTCAACATAGGCCATCTCATCCACGATCCAGAGAGCAATAAAAATTAATTCTAATCAATGTGTTCTATATAAAAAAAGCTGTGGCTCACTATTCTTCATTTTTGTCAATTATTTATATAGCTTCTCAGTGAAAGAGCTCAGATGTATGTTTCAAAGCCAATTCATGAAGTCTCAGTTAAGTTCAGTGAGGTGAATAGTATTATCCCTGTTTGACAGAATGGGAATCCAAGGCACAGAGGTTAAGTGACTTGCCAGTGTCTCATAGCAAGTAAATAGATTCCACAAAACTACTGTTTCTCAGACTTGTGACTTAGCTATTTGGCCATATAGAACTGGACTAATTTTATACGTGGTGTAACAAAGATCCATCTTCCCCGCCACCCTTCCATATGCACTGGCCCATCTGTTGCCCTCACATAGCAAATGTTGCCTTTCTTCAGCTGTTTAGAAAGCTGCACCAAGGGCACAGGTTGGAGAGAAACACTATGTTAATTTGGAAAGTTACTGTAGCTACTCAATGCTTTTATAAAAGATGAGATTGTTGCGTGTTTCCTCTTCATCTTTCTGCTCTAGTGCTGCTTCTCCTTTGTAGCCTATTTCTAGACATCTCACAAAAAAAATTGAAAAAGCCAAACTAGAATTTAAAAAGGAATAATCTAGTAATGCTCCAGGTGTCCATTAAAATGGCATTTAATGGGTATTAATTCATAATTGCACCAATAAACTTTTTTAAAAAAGCATGAAAAAAAACCAGAAAAAAGTGAACATGCACCCCACGACCTTTTAATTGCTGAGTAATTTAATAGCTATTATTTTGGGACCACCTGGCACTAAGTAGAATCATGTGACCTTGAAACGTAAAATTCAATACTTAAAAATGACTGGGTACTAGTTTATGGTGACATTCAACATCAGCACTTGTTCTATCTAGTGAGCAACCATGCAAAAAGCAAATATTAAGTTAAACCATTCACTCTAAAATGTGCAGAAAATTGGATAGCTAATTAGCACAGTGCACTAAGCAAGGAAACATGAAGGCATGCAGTTTCAGACTTGGTTTACCTTGTCATAACAGGATTGCGTATACCATATAAATGCTCTTTATGATAACCATTATTACCATTTTCCATACTGTAACAAAATAAATACACCAAAAAGACTATGTTATCTACAAGATGCAATATGCACAAAATGGCTACAAAAACATGTTGGATGATGGTATTGTACTATATAAAAATAAGTTGTCTGTTTTGTAACATTATTTTTAATTTGCAGCCTGATACTATAGAATATCAAATAATTCTATAATAGTCTTATTTAACATGCTCCAATTTTCAATTATTTAATGGGGATATTTATGTTCAATTGAACCCTAACATTATAAAATATAATTAAACCAAACGTGTTGCTTTTTGTAGTGGAGAGTTACATTCTAAATATAAATCTTCACACCTTTGTAAAATAATTAAAAGATACCAGTAAAAATTGCTTACTTTTTCATGGGTATAGTTTCAACCCTAAAAAAAATATATAAAAAAGGAGAAGCAAATCAACTTAACACACTAGTAAGTCAATATTTGTTATAGCAGTACATGTCTTGCTGCTGCTCTATTCATTTGTGAATGTACATGTAAACTGACCAATGTGAAATAAAATCTGAAAAATGAAGTGCACAGATGTACTGAACAGCTAAAATAAAGAATAGAAAAATAGTAAAAATGAAAATAAGTAAAAACAGTTATCATAAAGTAAAATGCCAAGTCCCTGAGACAGAGGAACTGCAAGTGAAAAGGAAAGACTGGTTAGGGATAATCAGGATATTGAGCAAAAAAGGAAAGAATTAACACAAGGCAACTAGAAAGCAGGCATAAGTTATCCTAATGCTATAACTGAGCAAAGACAATCTGGAAATATTTTTAAATAAGGGTGTAAGAAGTTCTGAAGCCTTGAACCCACAAATTGCTTCTCATAGGCAGATCCTTCTACACTGTGGTACAGAGCCCCACTGTCTCAGTTATGATATGGAAATCTTCTTGTGTGGAGCACTTTGCAGGATGAGAGCCCATATCTGTTGTCTTTCAGAAGACACTGTGGTGCTCATTTTGCCAATAGGAAAGGTTTAAATAATGCACTGTATATTTTATATAAAATATTTCCTATTCGGGGAAATATCTGTATCTACTTTCTTTTTAGCCTACTTCAGATTATATACTTACTCATCATACACATCCTCCGTATCCATTCTACGATAATATTTAGATAGTTTTACAGCACAAATTATGGCAGGAATTAAAAATACCGAACAGCCCCCCAAACCAAACCAGAAGGTATTCTAGAAGACAAAAAACAAGAAAATAACATCAATAAAATACTGTATCAGTGTTGTAAACCATTGCTAGTTTTTTCCCTCACATTATTTCTTAGAACTTACGGGAAAATATAGAGTTGTAAATTGGCTTTTATTTACTAGCTAATGTTGCTACCCTTATTACTACTAGATTGTCAATTATGTGGTTTCTGGAAGCATACAGCAGAAGTCATCAGCATAGTCCATAACACTGCAGGTCCCTATTGACATGAATAATCAGTTGTTGAGGCCATCAGCAGAATGTTACTATTCAACCAGCCAGCTCCAAGCTGGAAGATATTTTGGGTCCCTAGAAATGACCTACTAGCCATGATTTTTTCCTGCATCAATAGTGAACAGCAATGGCCTTATTTATGTTTCCTATAACAAGCTGAGTTTTCAGCCCCTGAGAGTAGTTTCTGACTCTACTACTGCAGTTCACAACTGTGAGAAATTTCATTAGTGTACAGATTAGCTGGCCCCAGCTGTTAATTATATTTTAAGTCTGATTCCTATGAGCTGGAAGCAGCTTTGACTTGTATGTGGATCCAGCTGGGATCTTTCATCAAGAAAGATCTTGACCCATCTACAGTTAACTGATTTGGTGAGTGATATTTTTTCCTTCTCTGTTTCTGCAAAACAAAAGAAAAAGGTTCTGTAGTTTGCCTGGTGGTAGGTAATTGACTTGATTCTGGCAGGACAGCAGGTTTCAGAATTTCATATTAGCAGGATTAAGGCACTTCTGACTATTTAGAAAAGTAGAGGTGGTTCTTGTATACAAGTTCTGATTATTATTATTTGGTTCAGACCGAGGAAAAGAAAGAATTGGTGGGAGAGGTTTTAAGAGGTTTACAGATGCGCATTTTCCTTTAACACACACAAGCAACTTTTTAGGCACCTCTGAGTGTGAGAAAAAATTCCAAATAGCACCTCAGACATAATGAAGCTCTCCTCTGTACATGAATCAAGATTTCTTTTCTACAGGCCATCTGAAAAGAGTTTCTTTTCCTCACTCAAATGTTCGATTCCAGCAAAGAAGTCTGGAATTTCTCTCTTCAGTACTTTCCTTATTCTGATATTCTCAGAGCAATTATGGGTCAGAGTTGGATTGTCAGATCCAATCTTCACTGAATTTCAAGGAAGTTCAGATTCAAGTCCCTAAATCAGCATGTCCTCCAAAACATTTCTGATTCAAATGCAGATACTGAATGAGAATTGGTCTCTTTTCATATTCAAGATGGCAAAGTCGCATAAAAACAGTGGATTTTACAAGATTTCTGCCATTATTGGACAAAATCTAATTGGAATGTATTGAAACTCCAGCCTTGGAGTGGTTTCAGACCTGAACTCCATACCTTAAACTAAATTTAATCTAGATCTGAACACTTACTCCTTGGCCAAACTCAGATTTAAACAAGCTCCCTCATCAGAATAGCAGAGTCAAAGGATGATGGGCAGAGATTTATGGTCACAATTCAGTGCCAGTGCAAGCAAAAATTCCCAATTTAAGGCCCTAGTTTTGAAGAACAGGAAATATTTCTTACCACAGAATCAATTACATAGCTGCATAAAAAAATATCTACTGCAGTGTCTATCACGTTGGCAATAGGCTTGCACGCTGCTACGTCCATAGCAATCTACAACAGATTGAAATACTGTTCAAGTACCAGTAATTCACCAAGAAAAACCCTGCAATACCTAGAACAAGCTTTATCTGCCATTTACTAAGCGTCTGGTCTGTTCCCCCTCCAGCGCCCCCGCAAGCAAATTCCTGCAATATATTTTATCCCCGGAGTGCAAATCATGCCTTGGAGAATTAACTTCCTTTGCTCAGAACAAAAATAATTCTACTTCCTTTAAGACGAGGGTGAGCAAACACATAAACAAAGGCAGGCTTGGTGAGAAAAGTACAAATGGGACCGCTCTGTCACTTGCCCCCTAGAGAAACATCACTGTAATAACTTCATTTGCACACTGCTATGCACAGAAACAACTACTTGTTTCATTATATTTACAGTAGAAGGGAAACTCCATTTATAATAAAATACACTAACAGTTTATATTTTTTCCCTGTTCTGAGCACAAATGTTAAAAAACACATTTTAAAGTGGACTTATTTTGTTTAAATTCTTTAAATGCTTTGCCACAGTCCCCTCTAAGTAGTAAGGGCATCTTACCGACTCCATGACCCACTCAACATATTGTTCGAAGTAGCCTATTATCATATCCATGTACTTTTTTGTTTCCTAAAAAATTAAAAAACAAACAAATAAACAACTGCTTTCACATAAAACCTCTACACCACCATACTTTCATTTCATCTGTTCAAATGTAAGAAAGTTTACCTGGATGATAACCACTGAAGCATCGTTGTTTATGAGAAGTTGAGCAGCATCAACCGCACTAATCACATTTTTTACTTTTATCTGAAAAAGAATGTACATAAGACAGCTAAGCCCTTTTGGAGTTGTTTTAACAACACTGCTGGCATTGTCTTTTAGCCCTTTCTATAGGGAAAAAAGTATCATTGCCCTAAAAATGCTAAAGTCTGAGAAAAACATGACTCAATATGGTGAGGGCAATAGTAGGTCAACAATATCCTGAACTCCTGAGGATTCATTCAATACCAACATGGACCCCCTCACTACAACCCAATGCAGGCAAACCTATAATTAGACAGCTGTCCTTCCTGTTTTCTCTTTCATACTTTTACAACAGGTTGCCCTCCATTTCCCTTCCCTTCTGAGTAGAGATCCTCATCTCCTGGGCCATTCAGTCACTGCCTGGATCCCCACTTTACTTATAGACTGCATGACAGTTCAAGATAAGCCAAATCTTGCCTCAGAAAATAATTTTACAGTGTCACGGCAGAAGTATGCATGTGGAAAGGAGAATAGGGCAAAACTATCTCAGCTGTGGATTATTCTGTAGAGTGTTAAACTACTTAAAACATTTTGGTTCCTCCCCTTGCCACCTCTTTTTTAAAGCCAGACCACTTTCAATATCAAAAACACCCCGATAGCTCTCCAACAAACACACAAAGGATGATGTACTCCCAGCTTTACACTGAAGGTGAATTTAAAAAAAAAAGTTTCCAAGTTTCTGTTCCTTCCCTACAACCATCTGGGGGGAAGTCCTTTAGATGTGCCACCTCCTGGACACCAAATAGTCTGCACATCCAGGTCTAAGACATTCAAGCTCTGAATGAATTTTGTGCAGCTGCCATGCATGGGTGTGAAAGTGGCAAGAAGAACTAAAGCCGACAAGAAGCAATCAGGGTGACAATTGCTCTAATACTACTGGAGCTGGACTGTTGCTACAGGAGCTAAGACAGGCTGGTGGTAACAGGGAAAACTGCTGCCAGGACACTCTCCCGTCTGTTCCCGATACTCATGAGACTAACAGAGCATAAAGGCAGCTGCTCTCTTGGCTGTACAACCACTAGCCACTATGGAGAAGGAAAGCAGGTGGGCTGCCTTAGGGAAGCTCTGTCAAGCTCAAGTTTCCTGCAGTTTGGCAGAGACTGCAAGAATGAAGGGACAAGTTGGGCACACTGTACCAGAGGTAGAGGAGATGTCCAGCATTAACTAGACAGTGGATAGCATTTTACTAAGCACAGAAATGGGCTTATTTTTAACATGCAGCCAGGTAAGGCAATCCTCCCTCAATAATGAGGGAAATAAACTGCTGAGTAACTGCAAAATAATTTCAGCGAATTGTGCTGTGTTTTTGTAAGTGAGAATTAAAACATTACAAAAGCCTGTTTAAAAAATAGCCACAAAATATCTTTCCATCTGTGGGTGTCTCCTAGGCACTGTAACTACCTAGATAGATAATAATCAAATGAAACTTTGAACATCAAGTGCTTTACAGGGGGATGGGGACAGATGAGGAAACCAAGGCACGTTAACCTCTGTAGACCAGAGTTCAGGCCCTGAGATTCCCTGTCACAGACCTGCCAAGAGACGTGGAAATTGAAACATTGAGCACCACAATGCCTAACATTTTAGGTGCCCAAAACAAAACAAAACCAAAAAAACCACACCACAGGGACAACACTGATACACAAAACCTGAGTTAGACCCCTCAGCTCCCTACACAGTGAATAGGGAGACATAGGGACATTAGTCTGTGATCCTCAAAGTCAATGCACTAGGCTAGGTATTAAGCAAGCTAGCCAATGGGAGGTGGGGGAAAGGGCTGAAGCCTGGTGCATCTCTCTAAAGGCCACCAATGAATCAGTGGAAGATAAGCGTTTGGGTGCCTAAACTGCATGCAAGGCCCAAAACAAAACAACTCGTTTACTGAATAATTGAATTTTAGAGCAGTTTAATGTAAAAGTGGAACAGCTTTCATCAGAGTCTGCAGGAGCACCACCATCGGAATAGACTAGTGGCTAGGGTACTCACTTGAGATGTGGCAGATACCACTTCAAATCCCTTATCTCTTTGGGAAGGTGGGCAGCTTGAAACAGGAAGGTTTCAGATCTCAGGTGAATTCCCTAATTAAGTGTTCTGCGGGCAGTCATCCCCATTTGCCTTCATAGGCACTGACTTCTCTAGTCAGTAGATGCTTGGCCCCAGGACTCACCCTATCCCTTCCCCCAAGCTTCTTGCCCCAGAGCACCCACAGAGTTGGCACCTATGTTCCCCCTCCCCAGCCAGGCCTGCAGATGGGGACAAAAAGGGCTACCAGCAGTGGCTGGAGCCCTGGGCCCTTTAAATTCCCACCAGAGCCCTCGACAGCACCGAGGGCTGGCTGCCTCAGCCCGCCCTTCTGGGAGTGCAGAGCCAATTCCCCCAACCTTGCCCAGTGGGCTGGTGGGGTTGTCGGCCTGATGGGCCTGGTGAGTTCACACAAAAAAGGTGCTTATTCCTATTTTTCCAGGCTTGTGAACTGCTCTGAGGCTTAAGTGGGAGACAGGTGTCCGAAAAATGGAACTTAGTCGTCATCTAAATATCTTGTGCATTTCATTAAGTGTTACACTACTCCTGCTACCAAAAAGCTGTCAGTATAAAAATTTTGCAAATATTATGTCCTGTACGTTTGTGGTAGGATAGAGTTAAAGTAAATTAAGTTCTGATTGCCAGAGACTAACCTACCGTAAGTTCAGATGATGTCCTCTGAAGAAATCTAATGCTCTGATTTAAAGTGCTCTGGTTAAAAAAAAACAAACAAAAACAAACAAACAAACAAAAAAAACACAAGTAAGAATCCTCTTGCTTTACTGCAATGTAGAAGAACAAATCACCCAGATAATCAAAACTAATAACATTTTTATATACTTAATATTAGTACATTACTTGCATTATCCAAGAAATGATTTTCTACTAATGGAACTAGCAACCAGTATGTGTAAGAGAGATTCTAGGAGGGAAACAATGTTTTTCCTGAAGTACAGAGTAGTGTACAGAATAGGGTACTAGAAGAACGGAGGACTTGAAATGCAACTAAAGTTTGTAGCAGTAAGACTGGATATCTTATCTGAGGATAAGGGAGAATAGTTCAAGTTAAATCTCATTATAAAATAATATACTGTGCACACGTTTGGAAAGGAAAAAATCACTTACCCTAGCTTTTACATATTTCTTGACAGTCAGTTTTGGAAAAAGAAAAGATGAGAATAATTAAGAGTTAGTTAGAAAAGAAACAATGAAGGATCAGCAGATAAATGAGAGACCCAAGACTTCTCTACAAGAGGAACGCAGGGACAGAACTACATTTCTATTCAGAATTGTGTGTGTATATTGCTATATTAAACCCTACTCCTGAGAGGCACTGAAAGCCCCTGGGAAGATATTGACCTTCCCAATGCCCAGTGATTTCAGACAGTTCCTTGGGGCTTTCCAGGAGATGCTCATCACCTAAAAGAACTGGATCCCGAGGGGCTAAAATAATTTAAACTGAAAAATGTAAGCAGAATACACAGAGAAAAATTGGCAGAAGAGCTGTGATTTGAACTTGCTACTCTTTAAAACAAAAACAAAACAAAAACGTGCCTGGCAAAGCATGTTAGAGGGAACATTTTCATATATTTGAAAGGTCAAGGAAGAAGATTTTTCTTTGCTTGTAAACATTACCTTGTAGGACTTCAAACAGTACAAAACCCAGAAAGTAAACTAACCATTAAATAAATGTACAAATTATAGTTATTTTCTTTGACCAACATGAAGTGCAAAAAAGGAAATAAATTATGTGAAGTTAGACTATGTACTTCCCCCCCGCCTGTCCTACTGTATTGTTCTAAAATCCTACACATAAAAGTAGAAAATAAAAGGACAAAAGAAGTCGGGTTTTCACAATATTATGCAACAGTAGTAACAAAGGTAATGAATTTGTTATGCTAAAAATGCGCCTGACCTTGCTTTTAATTACATATGTACATACGCACGCATGCGTGCGTCATATGCCTTTATTTAGATCCAAAATATGCTTTTGCATTTTATAAGTATACATAAAAACATTAATATGGAATTTGCACAAAAGAAAAGAGTTATTTGTTATACAGTAAACTTCTGATATTCTACTATGTGGTTTGTAAAATATACCAATATTTTAATATAATTATATTTTCATAGTGCAACACTTCAATATTTTACCATAGATTGCTCCAGTGGAACAACTTGTTGATTATGAATCATTCGAATACTGTTTGCATGTCCTTTTAGTGCATTTTCCAGTGCTCCTTTGGGCTGCAAATGTAAACATAATAGTTCAGTTTGCTGAGCCGTGTGGTTTTTGTAAAGTGATATTTTTCAAAATCAAGACTCAGGCAAGACAAAGAAATGTCATTGATTGCTAATGCACATGTACAGTCTGCTCACAGCGCATAAAACAAACTGAAATATGCAACATATTGTACTACACATGCTACAACACTGGGAAAGCACCCTAAACACAGTAGAAATTTCAGTAACAAACCAATGTGTAGTTCTAATGTAGTCAGAAAAACGTTAGAACACCTATAATAATTCAATAGAATGATTTTTCACATAGGGCACATTTTCTTCTCTATATCAAAAGACATTACTTTTGCTCTAATGTCTGAAAGGCTCATTAAGAATGACTGATCTTATTAAGAGAATGCACCACTTATTTTATCCACTGTCTCTCAAGGTGCAATGGCGCCCTCCACTGGGACTATAGTTTTCCCTCTATAGATTAAAACAGTAACATGTAGGACTGGTACAGATTTAGGGATATCTAGTTTTTTGAAATATGTACAATTTTAAACAGTCATTTAATTTCAGGAGATTTCCATTCAGAAATAGTACCATCTTTGAAGGATTTGGCAAAGGAACATTTGCACCTTTTTTTCTGTTTAATGGCTCCTTCTTAGCTGAATAATTATGAAAATTAAAGCTTTGCAGTCAATTTCTAGACCTCTCTCCCCATAAAAAAGGGTTTATCTATACTCTGATAGAAGACCCACAGCACAATTTCGGTTGGCTCAGGTCAGCTTCCTAGAGTTGTGGTGATATAAAATTGCAGTGCAGACCTGACTCAGACAATAGGAGGGGCACTGGACTGAGGCTCCCTTACAGATGGGCCTAAAAACTATTTATTCAGGCAAAACAACTCAGCAAGTAGCAACCAATTACTTGTAAGAGGGAGGATCATTAGAACTACTGTCAGTCACCTCCAGCACCAGACATTACAGCTTTTTCCTCTGTGTTTCACACATTTATTTATAACTTTTTATGATCTTGGGGGTTCATTATGTAATGTGTTAGCATCTCATTTCCATGTTAACTCTCCTCTCCTGACATTACGGGTTTTGTTTCAGTTCAGACCAGTTGTTTCTAGCTTCTTATCTATCTTACCGTTTCTTGTTCTCAAACGGGATTGCTTTGCAATTTCTTACATGCACATGGTGATCCTCTTACACTTACGATACTAAGTGTTTTCAGAACACTCTTAAAATCCACAGTAGGCTTCTCTCATGCCTAAAATATGCTTCTTTGCACCCAATGTTCCCCACTGTGAAGCTGCAGAATCCTAATTCCTGAGTGCCTACATTTAATACATCTCCTTTTTCCCCTCAACTGCCAAACCTATATCTTAGCTTTCCAAATCAGTGCAATTAGCACAACTGCTATTATGGCTTGCACAATTACAGAATCCACTGATATCATGAATACCCACAGATATTCTCGGATTAGGTATACTAACTCCCACCATGGGGCATTTTCCAGTGTTTCTGGGTCACTTCCAATATTTACACTATTTCCTGGGTATTTACTCCTTCAGAAATGCACATTTAAATGCAATGGTGGCATGGCTCAACTTAACTGTATCAGAGTCTAGGGCAGCACCAATTAGAAGCACACTAGCTGATGCATTGTAGATCTCATTCTAGGGAAATAGAAAAGTTACCCCTTTTATCCAGGTAATTTTTCTTGGAACTAAACAGAACATTGGCCAGCAATAACACATGGATCTCAGAGCATGGGTTCCAGCCCAAGACTGAACATTTACATTGTAATTGTGTAGCCTCACAGTCTGAGATTTGGTGCCAAGGATTTTTTTTATCAGAGTAAATATATGAATATATGTCAACTAGTTCATTCAGAAAGACTCTCTCCCCCATTCAAATCCCAATCCTTTGCTGAGAATGCGGATGACAACAAGATCTTGCTTTTCTCTCCCATGTAGAGAAGGAAATAGGCCAGATTTGTTTTTAAAACTATAACTTGCTTTTAATTTGTTCACAGTGCAGAGAAGAGGAAAATCGGTTCTCTCCCCAGTGAAGTAGTTTGTCAGTGGGATGAGTGGGAAGAGAGACAGCAGCTTCAAGAAGGCTGGTAGAACTAGGACCCTACCAACGAGCAGCAGTCATTTCTTATTCGTGAATCCACTTACTGTACAACTAACACTTGTCTGTGATGTGGATACAGAACTATTGATGAAAACAGATGCCTGCAATGTGTTAGCAAAACCCAGTGCTGAACATGAGCAATAAGTAAAAGTAGACCAGGAAACTGAGTGGTGTACCAGTTCAGCTTTGGCCACAGGTCCTTTTTAGACTATAGACATCCCTAGAATCTGTGCTCCTTAGGGAGAAAAAGCAACAGCCAAAGGACTCCTAGTGGGGCTAGACAATTCAAGGTATTCAGCAAGAATACCAGAAACAAGAGCCATCAACAGGCCTAGATGTCAACTGTCCTGGGGAAGACACTCTAGAATCCCTGGTGGGACAGCTCACTGTGGACACACTGAGAGTGAATCCCCAGGCCTGTAACAAACAACCCAACCGTTCAGGGGAAGTAATACAGGGAGGCAAAAAACAGAAGAATGTGCAATAAAGAGAAACCAAATTGCTGTAGTGGCCGAACAGATGTTGAAGGAGTGGGCTGATAAGCAGTCAGAAAGCATTCCGTAACCCTCAAGTGTGGCAGATTAAATGTACCAACTGCTATTAGCAAGACATTAGCAAATGAGGTTTAGTTCAGTTCCTGTACTATAGCTGCCAGATAAGTCCCTACACATAAAATCTCCAACTATATTGCTTGCATTCCTCCAAACTTCACCTAAACATCCAGAGCTATCTAAAACAGCATGGGATCATAAAATACAAATATCCTTAGATGCTAGGGTCAATTTCAAAGCAATTGCGCTTCCCTGCATGGATTCCAATGCATCATGTTGTTCCATCAACGATCGCATCCATTACTCTGATTGGCATCGCCAAGGAGTACTAAATACAGAGCAGGAAAACTTCCACAGTGACAAATAAGGCATTTTAGTACTGTATACTTAACAGCAGACTCGATCTTTTCTCTACATTTTTTTAAAGCACCCACAACCAAACTATAATATCACAGATCATCTCATTTTATAAATGTGGCAGAATCTATCATTAAAGAGTCTCTTTCATGAGCAATTCCAGGGAAAGGGGAGGGTCTTTAACTGCTTTGACTGAGGACTTGAGTATGTTGGACCTTGATGTGTCCCACTTGACTCAAGAGAAAATTTCCTATGAGCTCATTTTGTTGGAATGCAATTCTTTGGCTGTTAAATGGATAATGAATGCACTGTAATAACTTTAATGAAGAAAAATACAGTAGCCTTGTGCTTATGAAAGTTGTACAAACAGAAGACTTAACATGTTCAATGTTGCTTCGTGGCAACATCCTCTGGGGGAGATTCATCTACATTTTTGCATGAAAGGTGTTCAGTTAAGGCAACATCATTTTAAAGAGGAAGCAAATAAAGGAATAATGAAAGCTGAACAGTCAGTGAAAGTTTCAGAGTACTGTACAAATGAAGAAGCACATTACTGTTAAGTAATCAGAGTTGTAAATTCAAGTCTAGCATGAAGCCACTCCCACCAACCTTTGAACTCAATCTTCTTTCTTGTTCTAACTTGACCTTGCCATCACCAACATACAAAACAAATCCTAAATTACCAGGGCTAGATGCAGGCAATATAGACCTGTGTTTTAGACACCAATGCCTCAAGTCAGGCAATGACAGAAAAATCTCGGCTTTCATTAAAAAGGTGTCTTGCTCTCCTAATCATAAAGAAAAACTGAAAACAGTGTAATCAAACCAATTATCTGCATGAGTGTGCAGATAGCCTGAATCAAGAGCTATGAAAGGTTTGACCTGCACTAATGGGGTGCTAACTCCAAAACTGAGCACAAGGGGTCACCATCCCCCAGGGATGAAAGCAGATGCTGGGAATTACCAGCATTCCCTTAAACTAGGCCTGGCATCCTAGCGCAGCTTTTTGGCCCCAGAAAGGGTGGGGCTGGGACAGACCTTCCCCCCAGCCAGTCCTTTATGGCTGGTGGCCAGGAGGCCCAGGGCTGAAGCAGTGTCAAGATCAGAGTGTCAGTCTAGACCAAGAGAAGCTCCCAGTTCTCCCCCCTCACATTTAACTCACCTGAGCAGCAGACAACTTTAAGCAAAAGCAAGATGGGGCTTGTTTGTATGAGTGTATGCATGTGATCAGGTTCATCCCTTTTCCATTTAATTCAACAGCAGCATTTAATAAAAGCAATATATGTGTAAACCTGGGTTGGTCTTTAGTGAAAATAAAGTAACAACCTTTTAAATTGCTGGGCCCCAGGGCAGCTGCCCGTTTGCTCCCCCCATCGATGACTCTGCTGATAGGGCCCCCAGCATGGGAATAGAGGTGGGGGGAGAAGGGGAGAACTGTCTGTGTGTAGGCCAGGCTGGTGGCCAGTTCTTCCAAGTACACCACACCAGTCTACCTTCACTTTTGTTGCCTTTCCCATCACCACCACGTAAATAGAGAATGTCTGGTAAGAAGGAAAGTGCAGCAGGCCTGCCCCATGCACCCAACAAGCTGGAGTAAACACTGGGGGCTACTCTTGTCTCTCTTGGAAAAGGAGGTGTTCCTATTACCACCTCAGGATGTGGAAGGAGTTCCTCATGCCACTGCCTCCTCTTCTTTGCAAGGAGAGAACCCCTCACTGTACAGGAACATAGATATGGTAGGGCCATGTTATGTGGGACACCAGATTGCTTTGGCCCCGATTCTTATGCTTGCTCACTATTCTATTGTCAGTTTATTTAAAAAAAACAATGTATGGAAATATAAAACCACATGTGAGATTTTAGCCTATGTAACTGTGCAGATCCTTCCCCAGGTGAATTTGCTTGTATAGTGCTATCTACATTTCCTATCCTTTTTTGGTTTGTAACTTTTGCCTATAAGCCTTTCACAGCAGATACCATCTCGTGGATGTTTGTACAGTGCCTAGCACAACAAAGCCTCAGTCCCATGGTGGGGGTTTAGCTGTTAACCCAGTATAAATATTTTCTAAAAGCAGCATCCACTACATAATAACTGGACAATGTATTCAAATAGATTTTCCTCGCCATGATTTGGGTCAGTTTTCTCATTAAGCTGAGATCATAAAATATAATGATTATCTGAAATGGAGTTTCCAGGATTTGCCAATTTCTTAAACAAAAAGCAACACCACTAAATACTCTATAAATAAAAACCAAGGCAATAGAGGCAGAAATGATGTGCACGGGCATATAGAGGGAAGAATGAATAATATTAAAAGAAATGAAACATGCCACGAGTTACATATGTATTTCGCATACCCCATTGCAGGATGTGTGCATGTGTGAGAGGAACAAAGACTGTTCATATACAAAATCCAGTTGGTGGATATTTACAGTGATAAAATGTTGATAATTAAAACTACAAAGCCATCAGTTCTACATTCTTTGCATTGTTCAAATAAAACTCACCAACTGGTCTGCTCTTGCTTCCAAATCATTAGCAAATGACAGTAGATCCACTTTGGTAACACTTTTATTGATCTAAACAAGATCCAAAAAACAAACTTATTCTCATTCTACTGAATTTACATTTACTTTAAAATTATGGCACTGTTAGATAAATTTAACCCTTTCCCTAAATATTGAGTTATTTATGGATCTAATCTCAAGCAGTACTCTTATTCAAGTACTTTTGTCCAACTAATTGGATCCCTTAAAAGCCCACACATGAACCAACCTTTGTTTTAACAGGCAAAACAGAATAAATGTGCACTACTGCATTTTCTTCCAGATGTTAATGACCTCCCAGATTTGAGGTTACCATTATCTTACCTCTGTCAAATACGCTGCAAAGTTTATTCCATTTATCCCTGAAGAGCTGAAATTCAGAAGGTTCTGCTTTCCAATTTCATCCAGCAAAATTACACTGCTAAGATTTACATTAATATGTTCAATTTTCAGTGATACATCTTCTGTATACTGGGATGGGGGGGAAAAAAAGACAAGAATTGGTTCACACTGAGTCCATATTCTTCCTGTGATCTGGCACTCCCTACTTGAAAGCACTTGCTCCTGTTTACGTATGACTCCTGTCACTTAATCCACACAGAAATTAAGTGATCAAATTCTATTCTCAGCTATACCACTGGGTGTCCAATTAATTTAGATAATTGGCCCAATTCTCTCCCCCCCCCCCCCCCCACCTCCACCTTCGAGGCAGTGTCCTAACCCCGTCTCTGCATCCTTTTGGCTTCTCTATTTCAATGACATATTTCAATGTACTTCTCTCAGGAAGGCCCAATTCCTATCTAGAACAGATACCAGGATAAAATGCAGGAACTAAAGCTATCTTCAAATGGATAAGTTATGCCATATACTATCTGACAGATCTGGAGAACACAGAGCAGTAGCATTTTATCTTCAGTCCTGTCAAAAATTCTGTACCATAATCAGAAATTCCTTTATATTTTCCTAAACACAAGGATGTTGACCAGAAACCATCCTCTAACAATTTATAGAGATAACAGAAAGGCCGAGCCTACTATGCAATGCAAGACAAGTACTACACTGATTTGTGCCATCCAGCAGAAAAGGCACTGGACTGGGACTCAGGAAATCAGAGTTCTAATCCAAATTTGCCACTTGATTGCTATAAGTAATTTCATGTGTCTCTGCCTTCCTTTATCCTCGATTTCGCATATTGTTCTTACACTCTGAGGTAAGGATCTCCTCTTACTGTGTGTGTAGGCACAATGGCCGTCATTATGAGGCACAGACCTTTGTGGGGCTACTGCAATAAAAATTAGAACTGCTGATGACTAGTAATGTCATCTAACTAACCTTGGACAATTCTAAAAACCAAGTTGGGGGAAATAATTTTTTTTCTTCTCTCAAATACAAGTTGAGACACATGTTGTGGGGAGCATATAGAACAGAAATGCATCTCTTTGGCAACTTTAATTCTAGTTCTTGCCAACTGAACAGGTCAGTACAGGGGCTTGCAATACAGAGAGTGAGATTGTATAGTGTCTACATCTCAGCATCTCCTGGAGAATGCTTGACTTTGAGGTCTGCATATAAGTAAAATAAAAACAAAAGAATGTCAGTGCCTAAGGCCAGAACGAACTACCAGATCATCTAAGTTGATCTCCTGTATATCACAAGCCATGTCCCACTTCCAGCAACATTACTTATTTATAACCCCAATGCACAGAATGGAAGAATTCTACAAAGTGACTTACCAAAATTATATACTTTTTCCCAGCTTAACCAGGTTTAACTGCTAGAAACTATAAGGGACAACTCCTCCTTCCTCCAAATACCAAAAGTACTGCACTATATTCATGAACACCTACAAAAAAGTTAGCTGACAACTGCAATCTCCTTTCACTCTCCGAAACTAGGATCACAATCACAAACTTCCTTTACTTACCATGCTAATGTTAAGAAACTCATTAATTTTGAAGAGATTTTCTAGATGAAGTGTGGTATAAATTCCTTTGTTTTCTTTGCAGTCACTATGAAAATAGATGGTATATATATCAGTTTAAATATCAATCTTGGTGCCTCTTTAAAAATGATTAACAGTGCTTGCATGTTAGATTACATTTTTTAAAAGTCTTATCACTTGAATGTCAGGCTATAGAAAGGACAGTATTGACAATGCTGCTTAGTCTGAAAGATTCTTTGATGCTATAATACACACAAAACAGCTTTTAACAAGTGCAATTGCTTTTTTTCCATTATATTATACTAAGACCACCTACAACTGATTTATAGGCAGGTCATCTCACTTTTGCTACTGATTCACAAGGATATTGAGAGTTACCTTGTACAGTAAAGGCAATTTATGGTGTTGGAAATCTAGCATATGGAAACTGATGGAAATGAAGACATCAAGAATCACAAAAAGCAATGCATGTTCACAACAATAAATCCTGGCCAAGATTTTATTTTTTTATACCTGTAAACTTTTTCAAAGGTCAAATTAATATCTGGATTTTTAAGCACGATGCCAGAAAGGTAGTTTCTCCAATGCCGATTCAGTAAATAGGGAGTATCCAAAACCTAGAACAAAAGTGAACTTAAGTTTTTTATCACAAGTCTACATTTCTAAAATCCTACATGCCTTTGTGCAAGCTTTCACCACACACATATGTATGCCTCACCCTCAGTTCATCTGTTGATGAAAATAAAAACAGCCATACAACACCCCAATGATCTCTAAGGAGCAGAGTGTGCAACATATCAGATGCTTCTGAGCGACAGGGAGATTTACGTCCAGGGGCAGGAAGACTATTTGCAACATCATTCTCAGGGTGAATCTACACAGCAGGGCTTAATGCGAAATATGCTATGCAAATTGAGCTGTCAATTGTGTATCATTTCAAAATACCTTATTTTGAAATAGGCAGCATCTACACAGCACTTATTTCAAAATAGAGCACTCTTCCTCTGACTTCCTTCATTCCTCATATAACAAGGGTTACAGGAGTCGGAGTAAGTCATCCTCCAGCTTGATGGTATTTTTGACACTATTTCGAAATAAGTGCATGCTGTGTAGATGCGGACTAAGTTATTTAGGAATAGTGCTAGTTATTTAGAAATAGTGCTGCAGTATAGACATACCCTCGGTGGCACATTCAAGCAAGAGGAAGTTAAGCCTCTCCACCAGAGTGGATACTAAGAGCCTCATATTATCATGACACAGTCTGTATCAGGGCAAAAGTTACAAACCTCTCACAGACTCGTGGGTTTGGTTTTTGTTGGGGTTTTTGGTGGTTGGTTGGATGTTTTGTTAAATACTTTCAACATGAATAACCTCACCTTGAACAAAGTCCTGTCTTCAAAGGGTTCGCAGACCAGCTTTTCTACATTTCCACCTGTAACGAAGGTGATTACCACTATCGTCATCAGCACCCAGGAGAAAAGGAAACTGAATCCAACTCCGCTGAAAAAGGAAGACATCCAGTGAGAGTTTAGGAACACCGACGTGCATGCAGTAGCTAAGCCAAAATGCAGGAACTGTTGCAAATACCAAGTAGATGCAAAGACTATAGCGCTGCATCAAACTCAAGCAGAGGTCCCCAAATTATGGGACATGGGAAGGAATGTTTGAGTGCAGTGTGGCAGCCTGGGCTACCTTCCCATGGGGAGAAGCAGAAAGAGTGCTACCCCGCCCCAATCCTTCTGGCTCTATCCCTTGACCCCTTTCCCCTGGCCACAGCTCCTCTCCTGGCCCCACTCCCAGTCACAGCTCCAACCTCAGATCCCTAATCCCTTTCTGCATTTCCACATTTCCCCCTGCCCACTCCCACACCCCTTGGCTCTGGCCTCAGCTCCAAGGGAAGTGGACAATGTACTGGGATAAGGAGGGGTATGACTGTCAAAGTTTCAGGGACCACTGGATTGTCTAGATGGACATTTAGTTTATGGCAAGCTGGGGTCTCCCTGTGGGATGTTACATATCAGGTAATAGAACAGTCAAGTAACTGCATGAATTCTTAGCGGTTAGTCAGCTATTCTATAGTCTCCAGCCCCACTCCTGGGGATCCTCCTGCCACTTACCTCTGCTGCCTCTGATACAGAGGCAGCAGCACAGGGTGGCAGCAACCCCTGTCCATAGGGGTACAAGCTCTCCATGGACAGGGGAAGCTGCTGGGGACCAGCCTCTGTCCGCAGTGGGCCCAAATTCGGACCCCCGTGGATAGGGGCTGCTGCCACAAAGCAGTCTATGCCTGCATTGGGCCCAGGCTTGCCAAGGATAGAGGCTGCTCCGCAGTATGTGGAGCAGCATCTGTTCACAGGAAGCCTGGGCCCACCATGGGCAGGGCCTGCTTCACAGCAGCCACCCTTCTCCCTCCCCCTGTGTAGATACCTCTATTAGGGGCAGCAGTGTGAGGGGGGCAGGCAGCACTGTACAGCTGGTGTAGGAGGGAACTGGCTTTGCACACCCCTCACCCTTGCTGCCTCAGATTCAGAGGCAGTGGTGGGGAGGGAGGAAATATGAGTAGTCGACTAGATTAACCAATAAGCCTAGGATAAACTTAAAACTACAACAAATGGTCTGGTAGCACTTTAAAGGCTAACAAAACATGTAGATGGTATCATGAGCTTTCGTGGGCACAGCCCAATTCTTCACAGTTGATTACTCTTCTACATCCCTAGTCTACATCACATTAGAATGTTGTGCACACACTGCACACTTAAATTTGCTTACTTTGAAATGGGAGTAGATTAAAGCACATTAAGGATCAGAGTCTGCGAGCCACAAGCAGGTTCTCTCACTGCTTAGGTTAGAAGTGGAGCACATTGCCTGTGTCAAGAATGAGTCCATTGTTTTCTAAAAAAACTGAATGAAGCCTCTAGTTTTGAAGAGTGGCTTTGCAAGTTCCAGATGTCCTCAAGAGGAAGAACGGATTCAACCCAGTGCTAAATCCCTAAGCATCATTACCATCCACAAAACAAAGCCCTCTGATCTGATAGAAAGAGGCCACATTTCCCTAAATTTCTGATGCAACAGATCTACTCTCCCCCTTTGGGAACGCAAACTATGTTTAAAAATATGTTCCACGCATATTACTATTTAGAGGAAAAACTACCAATTCTATTTAGAGGAAAAACTACCAATTCTATTTGTAGTCTAAATACTTTGACAGAGCATCCAATTTTGCAATTCTCAAGTTGGCATAAATGGGATGGATGTTAGCTATGATGCTCTCATTATAACAGCTTAATGGGTTTTATCTTATGTTACCTTCTAGTAAAGAAATCTATCAATGCCAACCAATTTCATCGTTTAAGCATCCCAAGGCCAGATCTTGCTTCCACTGAGGCTCTTAGATTTCAACCATTTAACCTGTATCTTCATTTTTCTCCTCAGTTGACCAAAGTATATATTTACCCAGGTGCTAAAGCTCTTCAAAATATACTTTCCACATTATAGCACGTAACTGCAGGATACGTTTGTACAATAGTTCATTTATATTTGGTAAAAACAGAACACTCACGCCATAAGGAAATTGCCTCCAGTGTTTGAAATACAGCCTCTGGTTGTTGGAGAAGCATGTTTATCATAACCGCAGGTACCACATACTAATCCAAGATAGTAAAAAACCAGGATCAGAATCACCATGCAGCAGAGAATGAGACAACCCAACCATCTAGGGAATCAAAGACAAGTTACAGGATTAATATGTATGGCATATCACAGTCCAAATATTAATCATGAGAATTCGAGAAGAAATAGCAAAGAATGTTAAGGGTAAAAAATACTACATGTGGATGACAATTCAGAAGAGTTCCATCTCAAAAGGATTATAAATAGGGCTGTTAGAAAACTGTGGAATTAACATATTTGCAAACTATCACTGTACTTCTATGTTACAACCTTTATCCACATCCTTTGTCATATCTAAATAGATTGTAAGCTCTTCAGGACAAACGGTCTCTTACTTTCTGTCTGTAGAGTGCACAACACAATCCTGGCAGGGTCTCTATCACCAGACAAATAGTAAATTACAACTTCACAATAGAATCAAAGCTACACCCAGTGATCACATTTTTACTGTCCTGACAAAAACTAATTATTTAAAAATATTCCTAGACAGCATACCACACACATATTATTACTTAAACAATATGTACCTACCTGTAGAAGTCATATTGTTCCACTACTGGGAAATAATCTTGAACAAAAGCCTCACCCTCAGTCAGATATATTGAGAAATCAGCTAGAACCTTCTGAACAGGAAGCTTTTTAGTGAAGCTAGTGATATTTGAACCAACAGATTCCAACAAATTTTTGATATCTGAAAAACCAAGCATTATGGGAGTACATTGTTACAAGTCCATAAAAAAAGTTATATTGCAAGAACAACAACTTAACATACTCATTCTTCATATACAATCTGGCTGAAATGAAAGGAAAGCCATGAGGACAAGCATGAAACAGGACAGGCAAGCCACAAGGACTATGAGCGCTCAATGTAAGATAATGACATTTTAAGATGCACATATCGTAATTTTAACATTCAACTTAAAATTAAGGCTGCTAAAGTCAAAGTTTTCTGTTGATTCATTTTAGAATGAGTCTTAAAACTCCAGCTAACATAAATCTTGCATTTTTTTGTAATATAGCAAACAAGGCAATACATTTATGAATGACCAGTGGGAGACGTTTCAAGATTGGTATACTGTAATAAGTAGTGTTTAAACATACACCCTGTGAAAGAAATTACAGATCCTATATTAACTTCTCAATGCAGCAAAGAGCTAGAAATTCTTTAAATATACATGTATACTTTAAATATAAAGCCTTGCCAATTAATTAGCAGCATTCTTCATCTCATTCTATGGGCATCTGAATTTATGAAGGAACATAATCTGCAGCTGTAATTTAACAATTATATTTAGCTGCAGAGATCCTAAAATATTTCACACTCCCATTGTACTATAAATATATGAAGAAATGTATTTTTCAGGGTTTTTTTCCTTCAAGAGTCTGATGCACCCTATTCTGTCAGGATGCATCCTGTCAGATGTCAACTTGCCATATGAATTTGTTAAGGGTCAACACTGTCACCTTTTCTATGCTTTGATAGAAGTAGATTCTGGTAACAGGTTCCTAGAATCAAACCCTCCTTCTAAGGCATAAAATATTCATGAAATTTTTCTATTTTGAACTTGTTTTCTATCCTGTACTCAGTTATTAGAGAGAAACACCAAACTGCTAAAATAATGAAAGCTGGCCTGGCTTTATGCAAGTTGGCAGCTACTGGAAATGAGCATTTTTGCATTTAGACCTCCTTAATGAGAAACTCCCATCACCTTAGAAAACTTTGACTCATTTTAGACACGGACACACAGTATGGCAGTTTTACATACATATTGAGTACTATTTGCCAGACTTACAAGGAACAGCTGTTAGGATAGCCAGAACAGGTCCACAATGTAAGCATAACAATTAAAATAGATCAGTATACACATTCATATATTAAACGCACTACATGTTAACCTATAATGGTAAATAAACTATTAGTCAATTTAAACTGTTTTAACTGTTTGATTTTTGGTTACTTAAAAGCCAGATAAGAGAAGTTAAAATATTATGTAAGGCATGCACTTTACCCACTAGATTTCACATAGACCAGTTTCTTTTTTTATTAGGAGCTTAGCTTAAATAAATGGTTACTGTGTGCGCTTCCAACCAAAGCACTGTCAATATTATAGCAAAGTAAAGATACAGTAACCCATATGCCATTTACATGCCAAGATTTCACTTGCAAAATAGTAATAATCTATGAAGCCATGTACAAGACACCATACGTTGTATTCTTAGATCGAATTATGAGCCAGTGCTGCCAAAAGTAGTCTTTCAGTATACAGAAACGTGAACACATTTTATATTTAATCTTTTACAACATTTTCTGAGATCACCAAAAAACAGGATACAAAAATATACCCACTAAAAGACTGATACAGGCAGTCCCGGGGTTACATGGATCCGACTCACATCGGATCCCTACTTACAAACGGGGTGAGGCAACCCCGCACTAGCTGCTTCCCCCCAGCAGACCAGGGAGACGCGGAGCGGCTTATCTCAGCAGACACCTCAGCTTGAGAATAAAGGACTGAGGGAAGTGAGGTGTGGGAGAATAAAACTGAGCTCTGGAGAAATGTTTGGCTAGAGTTTCCCCTACAACATGTACCAGTTCCGACTTACATACAAATTCAACTTAAGAACAAACCTACAGTCCCTATCTTGTACGTAACCCGGGGACTGCCTGTACTAAATTTTAATGTTATGCTCAAGAAAACAATTTATCAAAATAAAAAGCAAATTCTATCATCAGTTTCACCTGATAAGATGTTCCTGGTTTGGTTCAGCACTAAATCTGGAGTATCATTAAAGGCTGCGTAACCCTAAAATAAAGGTCAAGGGTTAAAAGAATCTCTCAATGCTGAATTGCTCACATTATTTTAATGCCAAACTAGCTAACATTATACTTCTTATATCTTATCTGGTATGTCAGACAAATTTCATGTCACCCACTGAAAGAACAAAATACTACAGAAAGCTAAATGAGAGAGTCTAATCCAGGTAGCTTGCTCTCCCAAATAGTCTTTGGCTAAGCAAACACACACTTCTTTAAACATATGTCAGTCACAGTCTCGTGATTGTGACCCTAAAGTGCTTATTGTGTCTCTCAATCCTAATACTTACAAAGCTAAGGGCTGGTCTACACTATAAGCTTAGGACAATTTTGTAACAAGTGTGTCTAGACTACCTAATCCCTAGCCAGCTACCTAAGGGGCTTTTAAAATGGATCCATGTACTCCCCCTGAACAAGCAGCGTGAAACCTAAGGAGACATTCAGGCCTCGTATTAAGGGCAGTATAACATTGAGTATTGTACTTCGGAGGTAGTGGCCTCCCTGTGGTGATCCAGAGTTCTCCCTTGTGAACGTTTTGGCGAGCACTTTGAACTTCAATGTTTTTCAGCCAGGGAGCAGGAGAAGCTCTGGGAACTTCTAAGTGTTCATTTCCCATTGGGGCAGCTGGGAGATCTTACCAGTACAGTGGTGACAGTGGGTATGCATGCTCAAATGCCTTCAGCATGGAGTGTTCAGGAGATGGTTTGGGGTTTGGAATGTGGG